CACACCCCCCCCACACACCCACACCCACACACCCACACACCCACACCCACACACATACACACACACCCACACACACTCATACACCAAATGCCACTATATGCGACCTATATTGGTAAATATATACCAAAACCTCAAACTGTTTTTTTTTTGTTGTATCTCTGTCAGGCACACCACTTGAGGATATGGTGTCCAACATTCCGTCTACATCACCGAAATCAAGACGACGCCGTGACGTCAGAACACTTTCACCTTCCGGTTCCGACAACTTCAACTTCCATGACAAACAACATAGGATTGATAACAATAAGGGAAGCAACTGGAGCTTGCAAGACTTTCATTCTGATCGTAAACATTTAGACCACAAACATTTACTGCGACGTATGTCAATGAAGAATATCTTTGAAAGAACCAGATCTCCTCATCTTATTAGATTATTGCTGAAAAGCACAGGCGGGAGATCTGCAGAAGCCGAAGAGTTTTTTAACCTGACAAGAAAGCACTACATATCTGATCTTGTCCAGAACATGAAATCCCGGAGACGATTTCATCGTATTTTGGACAACGTTGGTCATCAGCCCAGACTTAAGTATAACGACAGACGAAACCGAATCGAAGACAAACGCCCAGTAACAGTTCTCAGCCACTTGCTTCTGCGCAGAAGTAATTCTAACCCAAAGACTTTACGAGACACGAGCCGAGACTTTCGGGATTATGATATACGTCTCTCGTCTGTTCAGAATGCTTTTCTTAGACGAGGGCACAATCGTTTCTCGACCTCAAACTATAAACTGCGTTCGAAACGAGGAATAGCAGGAAGTACCAAAAACTTCAAAACCCTCGCGAATAATCGTGAATTTGGATTAGGTCAATATCACAGGGAAATACATCAACTTCAAGAAAAGCACGGATTGTCCAAGTCTCACCAAACCTACAAACATTATCCCCCAGGCAAAACTCACCAACTTTCCCACCAAAGATCCCCAGCCAGTGCCTGGAGAAAAACCATAAAAAAATCTTATTCCAATTCTCCAAGACTCGAAAATCTCGCAGCAGTTGGAACAGATGTTGCTGAAAGTGCAATCAGGAATCACAAGTTACCATCCGCTCAGATATCAGGGAGTGCCACGAACCAGAGAATGCGGGTCCGAAGCAAGCGTACAGCCACTCTCATTTCTGCTGACTTGTCAGAGGGAATGGTCATCTGGCAAATGGAACCGCCACTACCAGGTGAGTGTGATGGTGCTTTTTTTTTTATATCGACACTATATGTTCACCAAAGCTTTACAGAAAATGATAGGTTTGCGCCAAACAAAACGTCAACGTTGTATGCCCCACCCCCACCCCTTAGGACACTAAATAATCATTTTAAACCAACAGGCCTTCCAAGGGAGCTCTAGTGAATTCAAGTGAGCCTTCATACTCATAAGACGGCAAACACGCACTTAAAGTTCATGAAAAACATTCAAAACAACTGCGATCAAGCTCTGACGTTAAGTTTGTTTGATGAGTGTGATCACAATATAATTGTATTTGTAATAATGTAACGAACCCCCCCCCCCTAAACAAAACAAACAAAACAACAACAACAACAACAACAACAATACAAAAACGTTTTAAAAAATCAAACCAGTCTGTAGTTTTCACGTGGCTTGTGGCTATCGTGCTGATAACAGGCCTTCAGATAGCGAGGAATTTTAGGAGAAGAATCGTGAGTCATGAAATAAATAAGTCACTAGGTGGAATCGGGCGCTCGTCAGTGTTTGAGCATGTGAAGTTATTTATATCATCTTGAAGTTCAAGTCACTTGAAGCTTATTGAACTGTCTCGATTTTGATGAAAAAGCACCTTTTTTTTCTTAAATAAAAGTCGAGGTATTTGCGATTGAAGGAGGTGGGGGGTCTTCTAGCGTTAACTAGCGATAAAATGGCCGCTGTTGTTTGTTGCGACTTCTAAAGCTTACGTGACTTTGGAAGCGGAAAAAATTACATGTTTTTATTCCTTTGATTAACGTTTTTTCCTGTTGAAATCCCCCACAGAAATGTGCTTTTTAAATAGACATAAAAAGGTCGTAAGATTAGAACAAAGGAACAAAATTGCCGACCAGGTGGAATGATATTGTTTTTTTTCGATTTCGTTATTTTGATGAATGCTTGATTCCACTGCGAGGCGACACAATAATAGCTTTACTACACACTGTCTAATCTCATTGTCGTTATAATGTAACTATGAGAATAATTGGAAATGGATTGGACACACCCTAAGGAGACCCCCGACAAGCATCATCAGGCAGGCTTTAACGTGGAACCCACAAGGAAAACGTAAGAAGGGAAGACCAAAGATGACATGGAGGCGAGCGGTACAAGCGGAAATTAAGAAAGCTGGGACATCATGGAAACAGAAAAGGATGCTCAGGACAGGCTTCGCTGGAGTAATGCTGTTGATGGCCTGTGCTCCACTGGGAGTTAAAAAGGGCAAGAGAGAGATGAGAATAGTGCTTCTTGCAAAGGATTAAAGAGTGTGCTTTTGCTACATTTATTGTACACGTGCAGATTAACCCATGAAACACACACACACACACACACACAC